TATCCTGATACAGTCAGCAAGACTTTGACCCATCCTAGCAGATAACACAATTGGTACAGGAAGGCTAAAAGAGGAAAGAGACTTCTCATACTATGTCCCCAAGAATGATTGCTAAGGAATCCTGAGATCACTGACTCTAAGAGAAGATATGAACAAAGTGAATTTTGACCAACTTGGTCTTAAACACCTGGCAGGAGAGTATGACTGAAGTATGACTATATGTGGACATTTAAAAAGAAAGACAGCCAGGCATGGTGCCACATGCCTGTAATCCTAGCAGCTTGGGAGGCTGAGACAGGAGGATCATAATTTCAAAGCTAGCCTCAGCAATTTGGCAAGGCCCTAGGCAACTTAGTGAGACCCTGCCTCAAAATAAAAAATAAAGGGCTGGAGATATGTCTCAATAGTTAAGAGCCTCTGGGTTTAATCCCTGGTTCCTAAATGCATAAATGGAAAGATAATTTTTTTAATGTAACTTAAGATGTACACTTCTGTCAACGCTACCAAAAGTAAGTAAAGCTGGAAGCTATAAAGGAAGGGTTCTTGTGTGGGAATGCCTAATAATAATGATCACGAAAGACTCAAAAGTCACAAGTATATCCTGAGTCAATTTGAGCCTGATCTCATAGACCTACAAATCTTCTTAACCTTCTACATAGATAAACTTGATCTGTTTTTCATTGACATGATTATGAGTTACTTGTTTATGGTTTTCAGAGACTGGCAGAAATACTAATTGTTTTTGTGTTAATTGCTCACCCAAACATAATACTTTGAAGTCTTTATTATTGTCCTAGCATGATCCTTGTCCTATGTAAACTTTGTCCAGTCACTTACCAACTGCCACCATGGACCTCTGGTCTGCCCTGATGCTGAATATATACACTTAACTGTCCCACCTGATAGAGAACAAGAACTTCAGGTCACTTCCCCCAAATTCACACAGAAAGTAGCTCAGAGATGTCACTGCCATAAAAAGGGAATTGTAGAAAGTAACAGTAAGGGCCAGGCAAGGTGGCACAGGCCTATAATCCCAGCATCTCAGGAGGCCAGACAGGAGGATCATGAGTTCAAAGAAGCTAGCATCAGCAATGGCGAGGTGCTAAGCATTTCAGTGAGATCCTATCACTAAATAAAATACAAAATAAGGAAATGTAACAGTGGTTCATTTTATGCTCTGCCACTGCAACTTTTTTTTTTTTTCCCATGATAGGTAAATATTTAATCTTTAAAAAAAAAAACAAAAAACTGTTAGCTTATTTTCCTAAGTGGTTGCACCATTTCATGATTGCAACTTATTTTTAAAAGGAACATGTTTCTTCCCCTTTCTCAGTCACTTCTCCTCCCTAATCTCTTCCCAACCCTAATCTTGGGAAGGCAGGGAGGGGCACAGGATGGGACAGGATTATCTTTCTTCCACTTCTGCAGTTATCTGTCCTTGAGCACACACCCACCACTGGAACAAAGTAATTCAGACTTGCCGATGGCACCAAAAAATACAAGAAATGACTCTCTCTCAAATTAACAAGTGAATTACACATGGAAAGTAGCCTTTGATTCAGTTCTTTAAAAATCCCTGTTCCCCTAGATGGGCAGAACCACAGCCTCTGGGACAGGAGTCCTGATATTTCTCCTTTGCTTGCAAAGCAATCAAAATGTTTTCCTTTTTCTCAAAACTGTGTCCTTTTTATTGAACTGGCATTGGGGATAATGATCATGCTTTTGGTAACAACAGTATCGCTACCTCCCAACCAGAGAACAACCTCTGTCCCCACATTTCTACTATAAATTGTTGAAAATATTTGTAGAACAAAAAGCTATCATTCTGAGAAACTCAATCCTCCTTTCAATGACATCAAAGAAAATTCCAAACTTTTCAACTAGATTTAAGGATTTCCACTGACCAATTTAAATTACTCTTACAGTATAAAAGGTCACAAGAAAGTAACTCTACTGCCAGTGTTTCAATTAGTATTATATCCTCAAGATGAATCTTAAAGTCAGCTAATTTATAATATGAGAAGTTACACTTTGGACAAAGCATTGAAGAAAATGCAAATATGAACTATTCTAAATCCTTAAAAAGATGTTTGCTATTTTGGTTCCCTAGAGTTCAGAAATCAAGATGGACTTACCTAAACCAATTCTTTCAAATAGGAAGTACTAACCTGACTGGTAATGCTATTTTCCCATAATAAATACAATCATGTATCGCCCACACTCCCTTCCTACTCTATGCTAAATGCTACTGCCTGCTGGTCAAAAAGATTATTAGTTTTATTCCCATGAATTTTCAAAACCAAAACATTTTTTTTGGGGGGGGGGGGTTGATTTGTTTTGTTTTTTGGTACTAGGGATTAAACTCAGGGGCATTCAATCAATGAGCTGTATCCCCAGCCCTATTTTGTATTTTATTTAGAGACAGGGTCTCATTGAATTGTTTACTGCCTCGCTTTTGCTGATGCTGGCTTTGAACTTGTCATCCTCCAGCCTCAGCCTCCTGAGCTGCTGGGATTACAAGTGTGTGCCACCATGCAGTCCCAAAACATCTAAATAAAGAATTACAGCAAAGTTGTAGGAATGTGCCTAAAATCACCATAGTATAGTCACCTAGTTAAGAACAGACATCTCAGGATAATCTGAGTTTGGATTCCAGTTGTGCTATTTACTTCATTCACCATTAAGTGCTAATTTCCCCATCTTTACTTATTATTTATACAGAGGAAAGCAAAAATAATCAGAGACCAGATCTCAATGGAAAGCAAGCTTTCTTTATTAAGCAACAGAATGGCACATTTTTTTCAGAAGAAAAAATGGCAAATGATTATAGGAGGGGTCTAATTTTTTTTTTACAGGATTTGAGTAAGTTTTGATTCATAAAAATGAGATTTGAAAGCCAAGGTGGCATAGGTCTGTAATCCCAGCAGCTTGGGAGGATGAGATAGGAGGATCACAGGTTCAAAGTCAGCTCAACAATTTAGCTAGACCTTAAGCAACTCAGTTAGATCATGTCTCTAAATAATACACAAAATAGGGCTGAAGATGTGGCTCAGTGATCGAATGCCCCCGAGTTCAATCCCTAGTATCCACCCCCCTCCAAAAAATAAGATTTGAATAATTTGTTGCTGGGAAAGGGTGAATGAATGTCCAGAGCTCAGAGATCATCCCCCAAACAAACTGTCCTCCTTTCTCCTTGACGGTTATATTTCATATCCTTCACACTCTACCCCAACTATATCCTCTGCCCTTTTTGACAGGTCTTGCTAAATTGTTGAGGCTGGCCTCCAATTTGATCCTCTTGCCTCAGCCTCCAATGTTTCTGGGATTACAGGCATGCCCCACCCCACTCAGCAGTTTCCCCATCTTTAAAGTGGGAATAATGATATTTTCTTAATGCAGTTGTTGTGAGGATGATTAAATGAGTTAATATTTGTAAAGCTCTCAAAGATGTCTGGCAATAACCAATATTTTACTGATTTAGACTCTTGCCTCAACAGAATCTCATGGGTTTAAATTTAAAAGCTCTAGAAAAATGGACAAATAAGCTGTCCTATTTTCCCAGCACTCCCTAATTCTATTAATTTTGATTTTTTTTTAAACACTCAGAACATCCCAGGTAGCAAGGAGGATAATACCAATTTTTTTTTTTTTTTGGGGGGGGGAGGCAACCCTTAGTTGTTTGCTAGTTCAAGGTGTACATTCTTCAGTTCAAAAATCTGAATTTGAACTAACCCTGAGGCAGAGGCCTGTGAATCACAGCCGTTCAGGAGGCCAAAGCAGGAGGATCGCTGGCTGGGCCATTTAGCAGAATTGGGTCAAAAAAAAAAAAATTGCTGGGTATGTAGCTCAACAGTGGTATGCGTCCCTGGGTTCAACCAGTATCAAAAAAAAAAAATAGTTTGAATTTGACCCTCTCTGATCATCCTTTCCCATCACACATACTTTTCAAAACGACTTTTAATAGGTGTATAATTGTACAGAATAGTGGGTTTCACTGTGGAATATTCATACATAGATATAACTTGATCACTTTCACTCTCTAAAAATGACTTTTCTTAAAAGTAAACCATTCCCGGCTATCTTTCTTTTTAAATGTCCACATATGGTCGTGCTTTGGCCATACTCTCCTGCCAAGTTCGTCAAAATTCACTTTGTTCTTATCTTCTCTTAGGGTCACAACCTTAGGAAAGAGCAGAGCATTCCCCTGGGGCACATTAAACTGTGGGTGAACATTAGATGCTTAAACTGACCTTTCTACCAGGTCGGCAATTAAGACCTCACGGAAACGTTAAGTCACTCTGAATTATCAGGAAAACAGGAATAGAAAGAAGCTGGCTCAATTTCCCCCAGAAGCCACTGAGTAGCATCCAGGGGCAAAGCTGAGTCCCCCAGTGCCGACTCCCCTCAGATCGCAGGAGACTGGGCTCCCCTTGCTTCCCCCACCCTACCCCGAGCTTTTAGCGCCCACAATCAAGAGGGGAACCCGGGGAGCCCCGGGCACTGCTCACCGGAGAAGGCCCTGCCCGCGCGCCGGGGTAGAGGGCGAACCACCCGCGGGCACCGAGGGGCGTAACCGGGCTGGGCCTTGACAACCCATACCCGGGGGCAGAGCGCTGTGGCGACGGTGGGCGGCCCGGCAGCGGGGCGACGGCGGGCGGGGCGGAGGGCGGCCCTCCGGGCGCGGCGCGCGTTTCCGGCGTGCGCGGCGGAGCGCCGGGGCGGGGGCACAGCCGGCCCCCAATCGCGCACAATGAGACAGCGCTGAGCGCCGGAAGTGGGACCGAAGGAAAACTCGGAGAGGGAGCCCAGCCGGGACAGGAAGAGGCGGGGGACCGCGGCGGAGGTGGTGAGTGCTCTGGGGCGCCTTCTCCCTGTGTCCCTCCTAGACTCGCCCCCTGGCTGGGTCTCCCGTGGGTTCCTTAGTCTCCAAAGTAGAGGTCGGGCCTGGCCCCATAGGTACGTTGGCTCCATCCTGAGGCGGCCTCCTAGTCCAGTTTCGGTGTCTAGGGATCCTCCAGGCCGGCTAGAACTGAGGTCTCGGGTTCGAGTCCGCCTTTTCACTTTGTGTCAGACTCTGCGAGGGTGGGAGAAGGGATTTGGGTCGAGACACTCGGCCCCGGCCCCCTGGCGGCTGGGGGGACCCCGGAATCCCATCGAAGTGGCGGGTCACTTCCTGCTTCCTGGTCCCCACGGTGGCTTCGTGGCCGGGACTGCGGGTACGCCTCCTACTTTTTCATCTCGGACGGTCAGGGGTGGAAACTGAGGCAGACCGGGGTGGGGCAGTCAAGACAAGAATCGAAAAGGTGTGGCATTCTTTAGAGAATTGCTGTTAGTGACAAAACCAAACTTGTTTAGTATTGAAGAATGAGAAATAGGACGGTTCTCTGGAGTTGTCCTTTGGTCAGAAACCCAGTCCCTTTCATTAGTCCGGAGCCCAGCCCCTCTTGTAGCCCGAGAGATCAAAGCCGGTCTGTTCTGAAATGTGATGAAGCAACTAGAGTGGAGTTGAGAGGAAATGTAGTCTGTTTACATAAAGTTTTGGTTACTTTGTGTAACACTTTAAAGTAATTGCCAACTTAAAAAAATAGACTTTCAGGAGTTCTGTAGCAGTATTGGCTTGGGATGAGGTTTGCTTTTGAAGTTTTCTTTGAAGAGAGGCGCTTTTGTATATAAGTAAAGCTTACCAATGTGATATAACGTTTTACTATAATAGTTTTCCGGATAAGAGGAGCTTTTCTTATTCACAGATTTAGTCTTCACAAAAAATACTAGGTACGAATCCCATGATTGTAGGACTATGTCTCCTAACTTCTAGTGCAATGCACTGATTATTAGGAATGTGATAGAAATTTAATTAAAAGAAAAAAAGGAAAGGTTTCTTACACACTTTTGGGCATCAATATGATATGGCATTTTGTGTACTTGGTATCATATCTTGTTGTATTTAATTGTTTTCCCGAAATGCCTTCTTTCAGGTGCAAAGAAAGAAAATTGAAGTCAAAGACCATGGGAGATGCAGCAAAACCTTATATTGTGAAGCGCAGTAAAGATCGAGGACCTGTTGATGATGATGATTTCAGAAGGGGTCACCCCCAACAAGATTATTTAATAATGGATGATTATGCTAAAGGCCATAGCAGTGAAATGGAAAAAGGCCTTCCGAAAAAAAAGCTAACTCCTGGGAACTATGGGAATACCGCGAGAAAAGGATCATACGCTGTTTCCAGCAATCCATATGCATTTAAAAACCCAATTTACAGTCAGCCCACTTGGATGAATGACAACCACAAAGATCAGAATAAGAGGTGGCTATCTGATGAACTTACTGGTAATTCAGACAATTGGAGAGAGTTTAAACCTGGACCTAGAATTCCTATCATAAGCAGACCAAGGAAAGATGCCTTTCAAGAAAGTGAAGATGGTTACAGGTGGCAAGATGGAAGAGGCTGCAGAACTGTAAGAAGACTGTTTCATAAAGACCTAACAAGCCTAGAGGCCATGTCAGAAATGGAAGCAGGAAGTCCTGGTAATGTGTTCCAACTTGTAAGGTTATAGCCCAAAGTCAACAGTGTCTTATTCTTTTTCATCCAAATAAGTTTTATTTTCAGCAGTGAATTTCCAATTTTTCATAGTATATGTTTTCAGAAGTGTTAATTTATTTAATGTGATTATTTTAAGGTTTATAATCATGACATTTGGGCACCTCTAACACATTTCATATATTGGTCCTTTCAAAAGTTTACCTCACTGGGGGTGTAGCACATGCCTGCTAATTCCAGCAACTTGGTAGACTAAGGTAGGAGGATTGCAGGTTCAAGGTTACCTTTAGCAACTTGGCTCTCTCAAAATAGAAAAAATTTAAAAAAAGGGCTGAGGATGTAGCTCAGCGGTGAAACACCTCTAGGTTCAATCCCCCATACTAAAAAAAAATTTTACCTCAAGGCTTATTTTACTTTAGTGAACATATTTTCATACAGTAAAAAATATGTTTTTTATAGAAGGAGGGTATCATATCCCCCTAGGGACCATAGCATAATTTCTAAGTGGTATTATGTATTTTTAAAATTATGTTTATAATTTTGTATTTAGGGCTGGAATTGTGGCTCAGAGCTAGAGTGCTCGCCTAGCACGTGCGAGGCCCTGGGTTCGATCCTCACCACCACATAAAAATAAATGAAGATATTGTGTCCAACTACAACTAAAAAATTTTTAAAAAATTGTATTTAAATAATGAACATGTCCATTATATAAGTGACAGTATAAAAGTAAAACAAAAAAGATTCAATGTGAAAACACAATATAGACTGAATATATTGCCTGCCAAAAGAAGGATTTGTCTTTTGGGTGAAGTATCAATCTCCAGAGGAGAACAACCCATGGTTTTTGTTTTTCAAGAGCTGTCAGGTGCAGTTAGTTGCATGCATCTGTAGTCCCAGCCCTGAGGAGACGGAGGATCACTTGAACCTAAGAATTGGAGGCCAGTCTGGGAATTCAGCAAGTCACCATCTGGGGGGAACTAGGGGTATAGCTCAGTGGTAGAACACTTACCTAGCTTGTGCAAGGCCATGGAGGGGTAGGGGTGAGAGGGTAAGCATGGCAACAGAGATTGGGAAACATGAGTTTAGAAAGTCAGAATACAGAAAAAAGCTTTGCTGTTTGTTTTCAGTAAATAACAACCCATTTCTAAGTGCCTTCACATGCTTGATAATAATTACCCCAGAGTGATTATTTATACTTTTTTCTGAAAGGTTCAAGGTAGATAATGTCCATGTAGCAATGATTTCTATAATCAGGAAGGTTATTTTTATCTAATGGATATATTCACTGAGGTGAGGGGAAGTCATAAATTGGATGGGAAAAATGAAACATAGTATTTAAAAATGGGCTTTTATGTTTATTGGCTGAAAGTCTTTTGTAGTGACCATGTAGAATGAATTGTAAACTGTCCAAATCAAATTTTTTTTAAACTTTTTTTTTTTTTTTAATTTAAATGTATTCAGGCAAATGTGGGTACTTTTCTAAGTCTCCAGATGCCTCTTTCTTCATGTTGTCTCAGTAGCCAGTTCATATATGTGTTACTTGCAAGGCACTTGAATTTGGGACTCATGCATATAGAATGCTTAAAAAGGAAAAGCTCTTTTTTTTTTTAAATCATTAGACAGTCTTAGTACAAAGTGAAAATCTCAAGCACTTGTTAATATTAAATGGGGGAAAAGGAAAAAGGAAAGTTAAAATTAATGCTAACATCAAGGAGCAGAGACAGAATGCAAGATTATAAAAGAATTAAAATAATAGGTAGAGGTAATACCTTAGCGTTACATGTCGTTAAGCCTGAAAAGAACTTGAAGGAATTTTCTGATGGAGCACTGTTATGATACAACAAAGGTGGAATCACAGTTTTACAAATTAGGCAGTTGCAGTTTGGAGAGTTTAAATTTATCCACACTTGTTTATTCAAAGTGGTAGATGAGGAAGTAGAACAGTAGTGGGGACTCCGTCGCCCTGGCCATTAAGTAATTCTCACTAGACCCAGAATCCAAATAGGGAAACTGAACATTTATTGATAATTTCTGGGCTTCTAGTTTTTGTTTTTCTTTTTTATATTGTATATTTGTATTTATGTATTGCAGTGTCCATGTGGAATGTGGACATTAAATTTAATTATCAATGCTTGTCTTTTATAAAAGAAAAAGTTGAAAAGCATTTAAAAATGAAGGTTTACAGATCAAAAATTTGCAGCTAGACAATACAAGGTGCCATTTGGAGACCCAAAAAGTAGTTCATGTATTCTTATTTGGTGTTAGGAATAACTAAGGAAGTTGTTCAAATTGAATAACTGTTATTCAGTTTAATATCTAAACTTTGCTCTTCATTTAAAGGATCCTAAAAAGGATCTCATTAAAGGGATCAAAATGTCCTTAAATCAAAATGTGTCTTAATAGAAGGATCTTATTGAAACTGTGAGAAAATATAATGAAAATAATGTTACTTTTTTTTAATACCATCTTTTCTGTTTATCAGTTTACATTACTGTTTCTACCTCATCTCTTAAATGTCCTAGGTTGCAATTTAACATATTTGGGAAAATGCCATTAATTATTTTAGCTGGAAAACATCCACTCAGATACACATGTCCTTTGTGAATGGGCTAATGGACCATATTCAAATAAAATCTGGGAAAATTCAAATACTAAATATAGAGATCTCTTATTACAATAAATTTGGAATGAGCTAGATGGTCTTCCTCCATTATGGGAATTTTTTAGCAATACCCAGTTATACCTTCTAAGAATCCCTCCAATGAGATTTTGACAGTTTATACCTGCAGGCCTGTGAGATTTAGTTCAGGAGGTTATACTGCTATCAGTTTCTAGTCTGTTCTAGATGTGAGTCTGTATGTGCCTCAAAGAGATTTTGTAGTAATTTTTATTTTTTCTGTTTCAAGATGAAAGGCCGAATTTCAGGATCCATCCATATTTTAATCTGTATTTCAAATCCCTTTCCTTTGACTTTGTCCCGTATCCTTGAACAGATTATTAATTCTCTTGGACTGGCATTGTCCCCATCTGTACAATGGGGAAAATATTAATATCCGTGTCAGGATTACTGTAGGGATTAAACGAGAGCAGCACACAGAAAATGCTTGCTTTACATCTGCCACATAATAAAATAGTAATGGTAGCTACTGTTATCGTCATCTGGCAGAATTTCTGTAGCCATGCTACAGATAAAAGTAATTGGAGTTAATCATGGTCTTTGGTGAGAGATGTCAATCCTTAGAAAATGACAGCAAATAGTTATATGGGAAAGCTTTTGTCAACAAGAGAAAGGAAGTTAATGAAGGAACTTGGTTACATATCAATTACTGTTGTGAATATGAGACTTTTCTAAAAAGGTGTTGCACATGTTGAAACTCTTTTTTGAGTATTTGCCTAAGTAAGAAGTTTCTGTCATGTTCTGAACACTGAAGTCAAATGTATTTATTTAGAAAAAGATACTAATAAAATAAATAAAGATTAAACTAATAATAATTAAATGAGAATGAACACATTTTTAAGTTAAGGGATGGTCATCTCAAAAATTTATTAAGACAATAAGTACTACTGGCTTTAAAAGTTTGTGATAATTGGGGGAAGAAGTATTGAGGTAGCCTGATGATTTCCTAGTCAAATACTATTAATCTTTTGATGTTTTATTTGCTCAGTCTTTTTTTTTTTTTTTTTTTTTTAAGAATTAAGCCCAGGAGATCGCCAGCACCACCAAAAAAAGAAAAAGAATTGAACCCAGGGTCACTTTACCACTGAGCTGCATCCCCAACCCATTTATTGGTTGATTGATTGACAGGGTTTCACAGAGTTGCTAAGGCTGGCCTTGAACTTGGGATCCCCCTGTCTTAGCCTCCCAAATTGCTGGGATTTTAGGCATGAGCCATAGTGCCCTGCTGCTCAGTCCATTTTGATTTTTTTAAGTGCATTTTTCCCTAATATTGTTTAGTTTTTAAAAAACTTTCACTTATTATAGAAGCTTTTTGTCAAATTTCATTACATTCATCTCATGTGTATTGAGCATATTGCTTACTATTTGTGTGTTAGAGTTCTTAGCTATAGTTTTGTGTGTTTTTCCATGCTGTGGATTGAACCCATGGCCTCATGCATACTAGGCAGGTGCTGTACCACTGAGCTACATTCCCCAGCCTCAAAATAGCCTTTTTGAAAACTGGAGGTCCTATACTTCCATTGACACTGAATTTTTTTACAATTAGTTAATTCATTGTAATTTGCTCACTAGTAATGAGTTAATGAGTTCTGAAAAATTGAGAGGAATTTGCCTCATGCTGGGCAGTAGGTTTATATTTCCAAAAAGTAATTTGTATTAAACCATTGCACATGATTCCATCCACTTAACAGAATTTTAATTTGGAAAACAAATTTTAGTCATATTATTAATAACTTTATTTTTCTCAACTTATTGTTAGAAGTCACAGATGTACTTAAAACAGTGTTTATGGTTCAGTCTCACCACCATCTTCTCTTTCACAGGTTGAAAGTTGTAAACTTAAAAAAAAAGAACTGATTCATTTATTCTAGAAATTATAGAAGTAACAGCAGGAGTTTATAAGCAGATAAATTTTTGCTTAGAAAAAAGCCTTTATTTTAACTACCAATTGTTTTTTCCTTTGATATGCTAGGTGTGCAGGTGGCTCAAAAAATCTAAAATGAAAGTAAAAATAAAATGGGAAATGGTGCCCTCAGCAGATGAAATTTTATATTTCTTCCCATTTCTGGTAGACCCCAATTTTATGTCTTGAAAGGCTTAATTTACAACTAAATGATTTTTTTTTCACTGCTCATAAGGATTTCTGAATTCTTGAGAAGTATACAATAGTGTCCACTTCACACTATTAAGATTGGTCACTTAAAAAATAAAAGCAAACGTGGGAAGTTTTCATTACTACAGATGTAGTAACAAGTATAATAAAATATTAGGTATAATGTAGATTATATATGTTAGTATATTAGAAAATTCTAATATGGAATATATTAGAATTACATATATACTTGCCATCAGAGGATAATTTTTACTCTTGATTTAGAATGCTCAGCAGCATATCGGGAAGAAAGAAAATCAAATTGTATTATCAAAGCAGAATTCTTTCCTTTTTTTTTTGGTGCCAGGGATTGAACTGAGCGGCACTCAACCACTAAGCCACATCCCCAGCCCTATTTTGTATTTTATTTAGAGACAGGGTCTCACTGAGTTGCTTAGCACCTTGATAAGTTGCTGAGGCTGGCTTTGAACTCACAATCTTCCTGCATCAGCCTCCAGAGCCGAGCCATTGGGATTACAGGCGTGTGCCACTATGCCTGGATAAATTTTTTTTTTCCTTCTTGTTTCTTCTTTTTATTGTTAGTGCACTTAATTAATAGTAAGGTTTGTTTTGACATATTCATAAAAACATATGACAGTTTTCTTCATTCCAGCAGAATTCCTTTGAAGTTATGGTATTTCTGTGGATTGGTATATCACAGATGATGTGCTTAGTGATTATTCAAACATTTTGTCCATGGAGATCCACCTTTCCCTTTGCTCTGTGTTCAGATGTGATTTATTCTGTCATGCCATTTAATTAATAAATAGGTAAATTCTGCTTTTTATCCAGAAGAGGTATAATTCAATATTGCCAATAATATTTTTCCCCTAACTTAAGAAAACAAGAAGCAGCGGTCCAGACCCAGGAAACCAAGGAGGACTAGAAATGAGGAAAATGAACAGGATGGAGAGTTGGAAGGCCCTGTGATTGACGAGTCTGTGCTTTCGACAAAGGAGCTACTGGGCTTACAGCAGGCTGAGGAGCGTTTGAGGAGAGACTGCATTGACAGACTAAAAAGGGTAACAGCTATGAGCATGTATTTGCTAATAAAAATCCTTGTTCTGGTTTAAACTGTGTTAGTAATTGGAAATACCAGCTTTGATGAATTCGGAACCCTACTTTTTTAAAGTTAAAATAACAAGTGTTTATTTTTAACAGGCATATTATTCTGAAAATATACTAATGAACTTGCTATACCATGAAACCTCCTCCCTTAAATCTCTCCTTCCTCAGCCCCATCCTGTAAGAAATACTTTAGGATCAGGCTTCTCCTCTAATCACTTCCTAACTTCTCTAGGTAGTCTTCTTTTGTCCTGAGGAATCTTTTGGGATAATTATTGTACCCTGTTGTGGCACTTTGCATTGTCAAAAAGTTCCCCTTGTAATTCAGTGATTTTATTTCCTTCTGGGGGTTAAAACTTTTTTTCACATGTTCTGAAGTCCTAGGACCTGCCCATCATACAAATAAGCCTACCTCCCTTTTGAGGTATACTACTTGGATTATCAGTATTTAAGTATTACACATTGAAAAGTATATTCATTATGAGGCAATAGAATTCCAAATAGTTGCAATTGTACTTAATTAAAAATTACTATTAAGATAGTGATAAAGCAAGACAGTAACATAGTGTCGGTTTTTAAACTGAAGGGGAAATCATTTTTCTGGCTTATTTTTTTTCCCCTGGATGTTTGGAGATATACCTTTTGATTAATCTGTTTAAATTATAGCGACCACGAAACTGCCCTACAGCAAAATACACCTGCAAACTCTGTGATGTTTTAATTGAATCCATTGCATTTGCTCATAAGCATATCAAAGAGAAGAGGCACAAGAAAAACATTAAGGTAAGTTTTATGTGACCCAAACTGTTGTTTTTACCTATCAGTTGTCATTGTCATTTTTCTTCTCCTTAAAGCTATGAATATTAATAACTTTAATTAACTTCTTGAAATTGTTTTAACCAAAATACTTTTAATTAATCAGATGTGTTTTCTGGGCAGTCTTTTGAATTTCCTTAAGTATAAAATCAGGGTATAGGAAATCACAGTTAGGACCTATATGTGTCCTTATGACAGTAATAAAAAAAATAATCAGACTGTCATTACTGGTTTTAATGCTCTTTTCTTACACTTTCTCCTTGTTCCTGCTTACTCTCTATTGTCACTGATCCAAATTATATGCATAAAGTGTGTATATGTTTGTTACAATAAAGACAAACACAGCTAAGATGAAAAGGAGGGCTAAAAACAGATTCCTGAAAATTCTATAGGGTGTTGTCTCAGTGAAACATAAAAGGTAAAACCTATGTATGAGCCATTTTTAATTTGAACATTGATCCTAAAAGGAGAAGCAGGAGGAAGAGTTGCTCACTACGTTACCCCCGCCAACACCCTCCCAGATAAATGCAATTGGCATTGCCATTGACAAAGTGGTACAGGAGTTTGGCTTACACAATGAGAATTTGGAACAGAGGCTAGAAATCAAATGTATCATGGAAAATGTGTTCCAGCACAAGTTACCAGGTATTTTCTAGATTTCTTTTTTCTACTTAGCTACTTAAAAGTAACTCGTTCATATTTCAAGTAATTTTCACCTCATAAAATTCATTTGTTATGTACTGAAGCTTTTTTCCTTAGTGAGTATGTTTGTTGTTGTTGTGTTTGGTTGTTATTTCTCCTGGCTTCTCCAAAGGTAACAGACTTTAAACATTCATTGCCACTGTGAACCTGTTTTCATTATAAATATTATTCTCTTATAAAATTCAATATGGTTAATTGCCCTATATTGGGGCACTGTGGGACTCTTGTATGTATTTGTTTACCTTTCCATCTGAATTGACAGAATACTTTTTAATTAAAATAGCTGGGCACAATGGTGCAAATAATCCCAGCAGCTCAGTAGGCTGAGTCAGGAGGATCTAAAAGAGCTTTGAAAAACTAGTTTATAAATAATTTTATAATGGGTTTTGTGTGCTGTTCAGTTGATATTTTGAAATTATATCTATTTTTATTTTAATTTTTTGAGACAGAGGTCTCACTGTGTCACCCAAGCTCACCTTGAACTCCTGGACTCAAATGATCCTCTTGCCTCGGCCTCCTGAGTAGCTGGAACTACGGGCACACACCACTGACTTGCATTATTTTTCATGTAGACTTTAGTGCAAAATAGGGGAGGGAATACAATGTTTGGAGTAAACTGCTTATAAAAATTTAAGGCTGGGTATGGTAAATGCTTGACACTGCAGCTGCTAGTCTTGATAGGAACAACCCTTGCCAATGAAAGGTCATTGGCCTTCCTATTTAGATAAATGATTGGAATAGCTTAATCATCCTCAATTTTGCCATAAATAAGAATTATCTGTGGAGTCATGGACAATTACTTTTAGAAAATTTCACAAGTGATTCTGATTCACAGGGCTAGACTCATTATTTATGTATATATCACCTTATAATTCTTTAAACTATTTGTTCCTGGAGATCATGCAAGTATTTATAACATGTATACATGGATACATATACATATAATTTTTACAAGAATAGGAGGGAAGTTCAACTCATTTCAATACATAGGTATTTCCCAAATAGTAAATTTTAATTTCACTGATTTTTGCTATGAAATTCCATGTAAAATTAAACTTTTTTATAGAAAACTCCTATTTATCAATTTTTGCAGAACTGGGGGATTAAACCTAGGGGATTAAACCATGTGCTAGGCAAGTGCTCTACCACTGATCTACATTCCCAGCTCTATCTATCTATCTATCTATTTATTTATTTTGAGGCAGGATATTATTAAGTTGCTCACACTGGCCTCCTTATCCTCCTGTGTCAACCTCCTGAGTCACTGGGATTGTAGACATGGACTATCACACCTGATTTGTTAATAGAAAACTCTTGAAGCCAGGTATGATGGTTCACAACTGTAGTCCCAGCACTTAGGAGGCTAAGGCAGGAGTTTGAGTCCAAACTGGACAACATAGTAAGTCCCCATCTGAAGAAAAAAATATGCATCTTAAACCCCAAAGAAATCATTTGAATTGGCAAACTTGAAGGAAGAAAATGTCCTCTTGATAAGAATGGGTAATATTTTGGCAAAAATAGTAAAATATTGAAAATAAATTCCATAAATACATATGGAAGATACACATGTTAACACTTATATCCTCCTCTGAAAAGGAAATGTATACTGCCTAGCATATTAAGATATCGGTTATATTGTAATTATTTTGCAAGTTTTTCTCAAGGGATTGCATTATATCAAATACTTTTTGTTTGTGAGTAATTTGTATTATAAAATAAGTAACAAAAAATATTTGCATTAGCTCTTGACTATACTATAAAGTTTATAAGTGTAAAATAGACATCCCTTTTCAGCTTTCTTATTTTGAAAATTATTGCCAATAGTTTTCTACACAAAATGCAAGAGTGATAAAATAAAAATTTTTATTTAAAGTGTTTTGCAACTGACTTGAGATCAATAGTCATTAAACCAAACCAGTCATTGCTGTCTTCCCTGTTACATAAAATTAAGGGATGAGCAAATAGCCACCTATTCCTGTCCTTTGTTGGTGACATACATTACAGTTTTGCTTTTGTATGTAGTTTTAATTGATGGTTCATTTCTGAAATAGCAGTGTTTTGTTACAACTTTTTGAGAAATTTTACTCTATTTATGCCTTCTATGTATTTATTTATTTGTAGATTGTTCTCTAAGATTATATGGGTCTTCCTGTAGCAGATTGGGTTTCAAAAATTCGGATGTAAACATTGACATTCAATTTCCAGCCATTGTAAGTACAAAATGAAATGTTGAAATTTTCAGTGGTATGGAAATTCTTTCTTTCAAATTGTCTTTATTTCAAATTGAACTGTGTGTGAATATATTTTAGATACGTAAAGATACTTTAATGGTGACACCTATTTTCTTAAAAGTTCCATTTTTATGTCTTGCCTGTTTTCAGCTTCAGGTTCAGAGAATTCTTATGCTCCATAGATTTTCAATCTTGTTTATTTTACACTACAGATCTTTCATACTTACTTGTAACACTGGTTTTCTAACCATGTGAATCTTATGGGGATATTTAGGTTTCTGTTAGCTTGGAAAGCTTAAATTCTTGGTAAAATCAACTTTCCATTAATAGGAAAAGAATTCAGGTTTTAAACAGTGTAGATTTTTAAACATTTATGATCTGAAAGCTTAATGAGCCTCCGAATTTCCTATTTTTATATATCAATTTTGTTAAAATATTGTTTTTTTTTTTTTGAACAACCACACCCAGCCTCGATTTCTGGGTTAAATGTAATTCAAAAAGACATTGACAGTCAGAATTTTAAAACTGGAAGGAACTTAAGTAGATTATCTGCTTACCCACTTCGTCATTCTCATAGGTCAGTTTGCAGAAGGTGTATCCTACTTTGGTTACTCATTAAAAGTATAGACTCTGAGATTCCACCCCCAGATATTCTATTTTATAGCCTCTTGTTCCTTGCTCTGAGTAATGTAGTTACTTAGTCAGCTAACCAGTGGATTTTGCTCTTCTTTTAATCTTAAATTCTGATCAGTGAAATTACTAACCATAGCAGTTATTTTGTTCTGACATCATTCATTCATTCATTTAACAAATATTCACTAAATACCTGTTGTATGGCAGGTACTATACTCGATTCTAAAGGAAAAAACAAATGCAGTTTCTCTTTCACAGAACACATATCTAGTTAAGGAGATAAGTAGTTACTTATATTATTAATTATAATGAGAGTTGTGCAGAAAAATAGGGTTCAATAACAGAAAACAGGAACTGTGAAGAGATGCCACAGTCATGGAGGCCTCATTGAAGAGGGAACATTTAAGCTGAACTCTGATTAGGATGGAAGGTAGGCTGAAGCCCCATATGCAGGATCTCATAGGCCATGGTAAGAATTTTACTTTGATCTACAGTCAGTGAAAAGTCATTGATACGTTTTAAGAATCCAGTTCATGATTTTTAATGGTTTTGATTCCACTGTGGAACAAGATTTAGAGTTGGAACCAGTAAGCTATCTGTTGTAATAGTCTTACAGAGTGAGAGGAAATGTCATTAGTAGTGTAACAACTTCCAGCTACCACTTTGAGATTTTCTAAAAAGCTAATTACCTCAAGAATTAATTAACCACAAATTAAATGTATAGTAGGTCTCTTGCCCACACTCATCCTCATTTGGTTTTCATCTGTCTTTCTGTCTTTGACGTACATAGACACTGCATAATGATTAGTTCTTTATTCTGGTACCAATGTTCATTTCTAATTTGGGAAACAATATTGGGAACTTTAGACTGTGTATTTTATCGTGAAGCAAAATTATTTAGGGATTATTTCATGTATTCATTCATTTATTTCCTAGATGTCTCAGCCAGATGTCCTCTTAATTGTTCAAGAATGTTTAAAGAACAGTGGTAAGGTCAAATGCTTTGTACACTTTGCTCTTAATATTTTCTTTTCTCTATAAATTTTATATAACTTATTACTCAAACTCTGAAAATAGAAACTCATGCTTTTAAAGTTTTTTTTTCTTTTGCTTTTTTGTTACATTATAATTCTACATAATAGTGGAATTCATTACGCCTTATTTGTACAGGCACATAACATAATTTGATTAATTTCATTCCCCAGTAACTTTCCTTTCCCTCCCTTCCTCTCTCCCTCTTAAAATTATTGATAAGTGTAATATCCAAAGCAAAAAAATTAAAGCAAATGGCCATGATTTATTAACTAGCTAGCATTCTAGTAGTAGTTCTATGTCTCAAAGCTTTTAGCTTGCTGATGACATCACTATAAAGATTAAATGAGGGCTTGGGCTGTAGCTCAGTGGCAGAGCACTTCCTACCATGTGTGAGGCACTGAGTTTGATCCTTAGCAGTACATAAAAATAATATACATAAAGGTGTTCTGTCCATCTACAACTACAAGAAAAATTTTTTAAAGCTTAAATGAGTCTTAGAGTGTGACGAAGAAATGCAAAATATGCATAATTTAGTCTTGAGAGTAAAATTAAAGAATAATATACTGTATCCAGTGGTTCAAATTAATGTTTTATAAAGGTGCAGTAAGTGTGGCCCAATCCTGATTAATGAATTCATAAATAGTTGTTCCCATGTAAGTTTATCCGTTGCCTTTTCCAATATACTATCCAACTTAGAGCTTTATGACTTTTTTTGCTTTCATAACCTCACTAATTTTCCCTTGAAGTAGTCATCCCCTGTCCTTTTTGTTTTGATTGAATAAAGCATTTAAATATTTTTTTATTTTAGTCAATACATATTTTGACACTGAAGATTTCAGTAGCCTTTGTATCAATGTTGTTTTTAAATCATATGTCTATATTTCTAATTAGGTTACCCTCATAATATTTAAATATTGTGATCCACTGGCGTAGTTACTTTTAATTAAACATAAGCTTTATAAAATAATGATTTTAAATTAATGTGATTACTTGATTCTTGAATATAACATTTTTTTTCTTTTTTCAAATCCCTTCAGAATTTTATTTAGTAGTTGTCTTTCAAAATGGCTGAATAGATAAGCCACACATGGTACTTGGGTCCTTGTACTTTATCTCATTTTGCTTGTAACAAAGCTTTAATTAACCTACTTAACATGTGTTTTCTTCTTTCCTCAGACTCCTTTATTGATGTTGACGCAGATTTCCATGCAAGGGTACCGGTGGTAGTATGCAGAGAAAAGCAAAGGTCTCTGTTTCTTTAAGCTGATCATTAGGTATCAGCTTGCCAAAAGCACAAGGACTTTGCTAAATCTTAATTCCAACTTTGAAGTTATAAGCTATACCTTATATGGTTATCTCATGTTTCTTACTAGCATTCTGTCTATACTTTGGCATTTGATGCAAGAGAGGGAAAGAAATCTTATTTTAAAAAGAGTAAAATTACCTAGAGGGAAAAATTATAAGGAAGCATTTGACCCATTTTAACTAAGTAAAAAAACAACCTTATCAAATGGTTACTTGCTTTAATCACTTTTTACTTGCCATCCTTTTTACCAGCATTTGTGGCAGTGCTGAATAGCTGTTAATGTGACCTCCCCTGTATAGGTCTCCCTCCATCTGGAAACATAACTATCACTACCATGAATGGGTGGCTTATAAGCAATAATGACTCTTCACCAACAGATTCCTTAACTCTTGTAAAAACACCATTTGAAAAAATGAGACAAGTCATGCTCCCATTTGAAATATTTCATAATATTTTCCTTATTTGCATGTTCCCCCCCAAAATAATTTTAGCATATTAAAACAGAGTTCTTCTGAAAATATAGTTTGTTCAATAAGTAACTGTCGTGTCTTTTTTTTTTTTTTTTTTTTTTTAATTCAGTATTTTTAAATGACCTATGAAGATGTAGGGAGTTTTAGGGGTTTTTTTTTCCATTTTTTAAAAAAGTTATTATCAGTGTAAATTAGCTACTGGTGTAAAAATGTACTGATACCTATGTAACACACCTTTTTCTCTTTCTTTTTCATTCCCAACTTCACCGGCACACCCACCAGTGGTCTTCTTTGTAAAGTGAGTGCAGGAAATGAAAATGCTTGTCTGACAACAAAGCACTTAACTGCACTCGGAAAACTAGAACCAAAGCTGGTTCCTTTGGTGATTGCATTTAGGTACTGGGCAAAGGTAAGTTAGACTTCATTAAATGCATGTGTGTATTCTGTGAACTTAACTGCGCTTTAATTTTTACTGGGTTCATTTAACCTTAAATGTTTAGAAAAATACCTATAGACATCAAAAGAGAAAGTATCTGAATATTGGAATAGAAACACTATACAGAAGGAAAATTTAAGGTTTCTGTTTCATTACAACAGTATTGCTTAAAAGATCAAAATGACTTATAATGCTTATTAGAAGTCAGATTTGGGTCAAATCCCAAAGGATGTAGTCAAAGAATTTACAATCTTAACTAGTTTCCCAGGGTAATACTTAGGCACTGTAAAGTTTTAGAAAATAATTCTCATAACCATTTTCAAGAAGAAATCCAAGGATTACATAAAGAAATGAAAAATACTATATCTGGTCTTGCCTATATCTACAATGTTTTAAATACATTCTCCCAGTTGATATGCTGTAATAATCATTAGAGCACTTAATATTCCCCCATAGTATAAGGTCAGATCATAATGATAAAATTGATATTCTATAAGGTGCCTTATATAAAGAAAAGCAAAAATCTTACTGATTGAGGTATAACAGTGATAAGAGATAGTTCCAATTTCTTGGATCCAGGATCAACACAGGATACCCCACTCTTGCTGGATGAATTAATAATTACAATATGCTCCTCTTTGAAAACTCTCTTCTGCTTCATCACTATGTAGGCCATGCTCTTTTAGGTGTTATTTTAATTAGTACTGATGGGTTTGCCAACATTCTCTCCCCAAATTGCCTTTGTGACCAAAGCATGCATTTGCAGGACTGTAAAAGTTGAGAGGACCCTTAAGCTAAGCAAAATCAGTTGGAACTGAACGATCATTTGTATTTCATTAACATGTGTCTTAACTAAGTGAGTGGATTTATTGTAGATGTCAAAAAAATGAAACAGTAAATAGTATTTTAGGGCCTTCCATGAGTAAGTTAACAAGATTAAATATTTGAAATTGAAACTCTTTCAAAACCACAGTATGTGGTTACTGCAAAGGAATAGGAAGTTGTCTATTTGTATCACTTTGCTGGGGGGGAGGGATTGTTGTTGCTTTGTTTTTTGGTTTGTTTGTGGAGTTGGTGATCAAATCTTGAGCCTTATACATGCTGGACAAGTGCTTTACCACTGAGCTATACCCCTGCCCTTTATTGTGCTGCTTTATTCAGAATAATCACTATATATCATATAATATATGTGTATTAGTCAGGGTTCCCTAGAGGAACAGAATCAGCAGGAAGTATAATTACAAAAAGAGAATTTCTCAGGCGACCAAAAGCTAGATAGTCCACAGTGGTCATCTACAGGCAGAGAGCTGGAAGAACCAGCAACTGCTCAGTCCAAGGAGCTGAAGCCCCAGAACAAGTGCTATCCCAAGCTGAGACTGAAGGCTTCTGGAGAATCACTGACAGAATCCACTTTGGAAGAGTGAAAAAGTGAGAGCCCCATATCATCAATCACGGCTGCAGTCAAGAACTCGATCATGAAAAATCAAGCTTGTATCTGCTGTTGCTGTCATGTTCTTCCATCTTTTATTTCATCCAAACCATCATTTTATTGTATGGTGCTGCCCTCACTTAGGGAGGGTCTCCATTTTATTTGGCTGTTCCACATGCCAGTTATTCCTAGACACACTGTCATCAACACACCTTCTGGTTTCTCTTAATCCAATCAAGTTGACAATTCTAATTAACCATTACAATATGGGAATGGGTTGCAGGTTTTAGGCCAAGTTATTTAAATCACAAATTGATGCAAAAAAAAAAAAATGCAAATTCTCTTTTCTCTCACTTATAGCTTTGCAGTATAGATCGCCCTGAGGAAGGAGGCCTGCCACCTTACGTGTTTGCCCTTATGGCCATTTATTTTCTTCAACAGAGGAAAGAACCTCTTCTGCCAGTTTATCTAGGCTCATGGGTATGAAACTTTTTTGCTTATATATCCGATTGATTGATTATAGATCTACAATTCCTTATGCATAATTTCAAAATTTAAAAAGCTAACCAGAAGTAAAATAGATTTGTTTGTTTTACTGGTATTCACATCTTTCATTGCTGAAATGTTAATATGATTACAAGATGCCGATCTATACCTTGCTAGGGGTATTACTACATTTTTAGCCTATAAATCTTAGTTTTTGAAACACCTGTGGACCTGAAGATTTCAAACAAGAGACTTTGAATCTATGTTAAGTTTATCTTTTGACACATTCTTTGGGTACAGCACTCTAATTCGATACTTAAACTTATATATCATCTTCAGACAGTATATGAAGCATTTGTCTCTCTGAAATGGACTTCAATTCATGTACGTATACATGAATGAATGAATGAATGAATGAATGAATATGAATTTTTGCTATGTTGCCTAGGCTAACCTCAAAATCCTAGGCTCAAATGACCCTCTTGGCTTAGCTTCCTGAGTAACTGAGTCTACATGCATATACTACCATGACCAGTGTAGCTTACTTTCTATTTCTGGTTTTTTGCTTCTCTTTATATCCCATGACCTGTAAAACAATAAAAGCATCAAGATTACTAACTATACAAGATGCAGAGCTTATAGTCAACTCTTCAATAATATTTTGGTTTTATCTTTAAGGTGAATTAGACTTTAATAATGTAATCTGGAGGGGCTGGAGTGGTGGCTCAGTGGTAGAGTGCTTGCCTAGCATGTGTAAGGCACTAGATTCAATTCTCAGTGCCGCATATAAATAAATAAAATAAAAAGCTCCACTGACAACTAAAAAATATTTTTAAAAAACAATAATAATGTAATCTGGATAAATTAAAGTTGAGGAGGCTGAGGCAGGAGAATGATGAGTTAAAGACTACCCTAGACAACTTAGCAAGACCTGAAAAAAATTAAAGTTGAGTTTATTTGAACCACTATGGAAATTTGTCTAGAGGTTTCTCAAAAGACTAGTAATGGAACCACAGTGTGACTAGCTATACCACTCTTTAGTACTTATCCTAGAGAATTGAAGTCATTATACTATAGTAATACATGCACACTCATGTCTATAGCAGCACAATTTATATTTGCCCAAACTACTGAACCAGCCTAAGTGTCCATCAGCAGATGAATAGATAAAGAAAATGTGGTATTTATACACAATGGCATTTTATTCCACCATAAGGATAAATAAAATTTGTCATTTGCTGGATATGAATGGAACGTGAGAACATTATATTAAGCAAAATAAACCAAACTCAGAAGGTCAAGGGTTGTATGTGATCTCTCATGTGTGGAAGCTAGAGAGGAAAAAGGAAAAGAAAAGTGGGGGTAAGGAAGTCGTATGAAAATCAAAGGGAAATCAGAGTAGAGGAAAGGGACCAGGGGGTGGGAAGGGGAAATACTAAAGAATGACATTAGCCAAATTACGTTGTTATATTATATGCGTGTGCAAATACATAACAACAAATCCCAGTTATATACAACTATAATGCACCAATAAAAAAATGTAGAAAAAAACCATAAAAAACAATTGAGTTGATTTGTTTAATAAGTCTAATAAGAAGCCACTGAAAGGTCAAAATTATGCTATTGCTTCTGGAACCATTTTTAATCTCTACATGTTTATCTTGGTATATTCTTATGTGTGTAGGTATTTTATAGAAAGCCTTATTTACTGAAAAGCTTACTTTTACACATTGAATATTTTCACTGCTTTTTGTCTTACTTAATAGCACACAGTCTTCTCTTGAAGAAGATGTTCAGTTGGCCATGGTATCACATGCCTGTAATCCTAGCAACTCAGGAGGATAAGGCAGGAAAATCACAAGTTGGAGGCCAGCCTGGGCAATTTAAATCCTTTCTCATAATTTAAAAAATAAATAAATAAAAGGGCTAAGGATCTTGCTCAGTGGTAAAGTGTCCCTGGGTTCAATCCCTAGTACTCCCCCCCCCCACACACACACACAAAGTATGTTCTAGAGTGGTAGTTCTTATCTGTAGGCATATTTGTGTGTGTGTGTGTGTGTGTGTGTGTGTGATTTTAGACATTTTTTTCTTTATATTTAATAAACAGAATTAAGTGGAGACTTTGTCTAGCAGGCTTCAGTAATAAAAAACTGAAGTAGAATAAACTACTTGCAAACTTTATCCTGACACAAGGGATTAAAGTATGCTCTATATCTTAGTTGTCTAATGGTAACTCTTTGTAGCTATGACACTGAGAAGAAAGGATTCAGGGCTACCAAGAGGGTATCTCCGCCAGATTACTCTCCTTCCAAAAAGAACAAGAGAACAAAGTCATCCACACCCTAGAAGGAATTTGGTAAACTGTTTGAAGTTTTCCTTTCATCTTGTCCCAAGAGAGAGTGGAGTTTAGGATGGGACCAAAACAGTTGGACCCAAAAGGGCCTGGAAATAAATTGGATATTTGGCTTTGCACATAAATGTCTTACTGAGTAAGAGCTGCCTTTTCATGTGTACTGATCCTCTCTAAATAATCATTTGTCAGTGATGTGAGGATGTAGGACAAAAGCTGTTTCTCTTCCTTAAGAGTAGTATGAATACTTTATTCCAAGGCCAATGTATAATTTCCTTTGCAGTGAAACTGGAAACTCTCTGAAGCAACTCTGAATTTATTTTGATTGTATCATTTAACTTTTTTCCCAAGACTTAATGACAAAAACAGATACATGATGATCAAACACTGGGTTGACTCTATGGATCAAATAATCTACTTAATGAACCAAAAAATCTACTTAATGAACCAAAATGATCTGCAGGTTATAAACTATACAGGCATTGGTTTAGTGGCTGCTGCCAGAAGCTTAATCAAGAAAAGTAAATAAAGCAAATGAGGGGGAAAGGAATTAATATTATTCTTACCAGATATTTCACCTACATCACTTCTGCAGAAACTCCTTCAAGGTCCTCACAATTAAAGTACTTATGTACACTAGTCATTGTACCAGGCCTTGAAGAGAATATAAAAATGAACAAGACTAAATTCTCTTATCAGGAAATTTAGTATATTGTGCCCCTGTGCTCTGATTTATCTTTCTTGAGGTTTTTAGCCTCTCTGCCCAGTTGTACTCAGATCTCTTCCACCTTGGCTAGGATAATCTCCAAATCTTTTACTCCCAGTCAGATTTCCCATTGTATTGTTATTAGATCTTGATACAATTGAAGTTAATCATAATGGGCATTGAATTAAGAGTGAAAAGCAGGAAGATACTAGAAAAAAAATTAGTAGAGCAGAGTCTAAATAAGATGTGGAAGTTGAGCCATATAATTGACTGATAGCAGGAAGAGTATTCCAGGCAGAGGGAAGAGCAGATGTTAGTTCCAAATCAGAAGGATAGACTATGGTTCTGAGAAACAGCCAAGAGCCAGATTACATAGACCCTGGAAGGACTGAATTTTCTCTGAAATAAGAAGGAAACCACAATGAGCAGAAGAGTGTGACACGATGTCTTATGTTTCAGAGGGATCACTCTTTGGGGTAGAAATAAATTTGGAAAACCTTATCCTTACCTCATCTCACAATTTATTATGTTCACTAACCTGTTTATTATGTAATGAGTCCATTATATAATTAAAAAAAGACCTGTTCAACTCTGTTAATATTTCTCAGAACTTTGGAGCCCAGACCATTTTCTTTTGCATTCATTAATACCACATTAAACTGTATTTTGAAACCTTTGGGCTTAACTAGAATTTAAAATATTGGAAATAGTTTCCAGCCAGGCACAATGGCCTATGCCTGTAATCCTACCTACTAGGTAGGCAAAGACTTGTGGATTGCAAGTTCAGGCCAGGCTAGGCAACTTAGGGATACTGTATCTCAAAAGAAAAACAAAAAGATCGATAATACCGTTCAGTGGTAGAAATCCCCTGGGTTCAATTCCTAGTACTATGAAAAAAGAAAAATTCTAATTAGGAGAATTTAGTTTTTATAATTATATCTCTACAATACTGATAATGACAGTTTCTTGGATTTATTGAGTATTTCTACATGCGGCATATATATCAGAGCTGTCCCATGAAGGAAGTTCTAGTGCTATCCCATTTTACTAGAAATTGAGACCTAAAGAGAGTAGGTGCCTGGAGGATCCAAGATTTGGGACCACTGAGTTTTACTCCAAAACTCATGGCTTTAGTCACTATGCCCTGTTGCCTTCTCAGAAATTTTGTTGTTGTAACTTTTCGGTTTGGTTTTGTTTTGTTTTACAGTGCTGGGGATTGAACCAAAGGCTTTGCTATGGAAGTGCTTTACCACCAAAGTACATCCTCAATTCAGAATATTTACTAAAGAATTATAAAGGGTTGAAGGTGTAGTTAGTGGTAGAGCAAAAATTTGCCATTTCTTTTGCAAATCAGAATCATCAGAATCTTCTTTTTTACTTTGATTGCAGATTTTGTTGTTGTTGGGTTTTGTTTTGTTTCATTTTTTGGTGCTGGACATTGAATCCAGGGTTGCTTAAACACTAAGCAACATCTCCAGCCCTTTTTAATTTTTATTTTGAGACAAGGTCTCACTAAGTTGCCTAGGACCTTGCTAAGTTGCTGAGGCTGGCTTACAATCCTCCTGCCTCAGCCTCCCTAAATGGCTGGGATTACAGGCATGTACCACAGAACCCAGCTAAAAATATTTTTAAATTTATGTTTATCTTAAAAATATTCCACAAACAATATCTTTTATATTTTCAGTGAACTTGGAATATATTAACTTTTTTCATTTCTTCAAACATATTAAATGCTCAAATCAATACAAAAATGGTTTCTACCTTATAATAATAGATGTCTACTTTTTCCTAGATTGAAGGATTCTCATTAAACAAACTTACGAACTTCAACCTTAAAGACGTTGAGAAAGATTTTGTGGTCTGGGAATACACTGATAATGTTGGGGATACAAACACAGCAAAAGAAGAGTCACCAAAAGAAAGGCCAATTAAAAGGGGGCAGGTCTGTTCTCTTATTTCTAATTTTACTGTTGATTTTTATTTTAGTTATCAATTGTGGTGTTTATGAGTTAGTCAGTTTTCCTGTTTTTCCTTAACTGTCTTAAGTATTTCATGGTTATTTCATTTCCTAATCTGTTTAGTCCATTGAATAATCAACATGAAAGATTTTTAAAAATTATGAAAAGATTTTTAAAAGTAATGTGGAAAGATTTTAAAAAATTGATCATTAAATTTATTTATATGGTTTATTCTTTGTACAGAGGCCTTGGAAAAATACTGAGAATTCAAAGAAAAATCCCTGTGTATCTTCAAAAGAGTTAGGTCTTAAATTGTATTTAAGGTTTAAATCTATGGAATGTTAACTTCAAAGGACTGAAATAACAGTAAATAAGCATATGATTTAATGTACTGGTCCCATACTATTGGAAATGCATAAAAAAATCTATGTGTAAAGAATTACCATTAGAGTTTCCAACAAAAAAAAAAATTTGTGCACAGATTATACAGGTCGCACTATTCTGTCCCAAATTGGTGAATGGTCCTAGATCCCAATGACAGTAATATTCATGAAATAATTCTGATGCCAAAAATCTAATCCCATCTCTATACAAATAAGTCATATCATTCCTCCAGTCTGTAGTTTACTTGTTCCTAAAATGAAGAGATAGTGGTGAATCATAGAGTTTCCGGTTGTGTTTCCTAGAATTCTTAAGCATTGGAGCAGGAAGGAGGAGATGCCACCCCAGCCTTGCTGGCACCAGAACAGCACCACTTTTGTCTGTTTTCTACTGGGGGTTCCAGTGTGGATAAGAGCACAGGCTGTGGAGCCAGATATACAAATATTCTCAGTTCTCCCACTTATATGTCCTTGGCAAGTTACTTAATTTTTCCATGCCCCAGTTTCCTCCCTGTAAATGAGGATAATATTAGTACCCTCTCATAGGGTCATTGATTTATAGAATGCTTAACTCAGTGCCAAGCATGTGGTAAGCACTCAGGAAATGTTACCTACACTATTCTTACTTTATTCAAAAAAGGAATGTTCCCTACTTCTAAACAATTTTATTGACGATAATCTAGATATTTTAAAGTTCCATGTTAAAGTGTTTTCAAGTCATTTCAGTGAGATGCTTAAAAATCCTTTGTAAAGCTGAAAAAGGCTGTGGATGAGAGGTGAAATTTAATAAAGCTTTCAATTTCTGGGGGTTTCCTTTGTGTCCTCAATTCTAGTATTTGGGACCCAGACAACTTCCAGTATCTATCAGTTCTGCCTTATAAGTCTACCTACCAGATGACTTTATCTTACTCTAAGACCCTTTGTGGTTGAGATTTATCCATGAATAAACTACTATACCACTTGTTTTAAAGTCTGATTTAGTAAAGTGTGATTGGAGACAAATTTGTATACTTAAGGAAAGAATTTTTTCAGTGTGAATTATAAGACTAATGTGAAGAAAAAGCTATTTCTGTAAGTCCATTTAATGCTTTTCTTTTATATTTTTATGTTCTTTGGAGAGGTTAGTCATGCTGCCACATCTGAAATTAAGTGAGCTCTAGACTTTGTAGAAGTTGCATATGCTGTGGTGAGAAAAACAATGTATTGGGGTCAGAACAAGTTCTCACGCCACTTACAAGCAGTGCAACCTTCTGACAAGTCACGAAAACTTTTGGGGCTTCAGTTCCTTTTAACATGTGGACTTCTTCACTAGATTACCTTTAAGAGCATCTTACTGTTGTGACATTGTTTCAGTGATATATGAATTTCTTGTACTTAAAGACTACCTGAGTGAAAAAATACAGAAAGCAACCAAGTCTGCCAGATGCTTTCCCTTGTTTCTGATTTAATCCTCATAACTATCCTGTGTTATAGGTGGTATCATCCCTACTCTGCAGATAATGATAGCGACCATTTTTTGAACACTGTGTGCCAGGCACTGTGCTAAGCACTTTACAGACACTATCTCACTCAGTCCTCCCAAGAACCCAATGAGGTGGGTACTATTATCCCCATTTGTCAGATGAGGAAACCAAGTCTTAGGTTATAGACATTGACCAGGATCATACACGGCTAGTACTTGGCAGAGTTTGGATTTCAAACTAAGGTTGTTCCAATTCCAAAGCCAGTTCACTTAACCATTGTGCAATACTGCTAGTCTGAGAGTGAAAACACTAAATTACAGAGCAATCAAGAGCTATGAAATGGCAGAATCACTGTTTGGGCCCTTTTTTTCCCCCCCTATTCTGAGTTCTGTGTATTTCCCAAAAGATTATAGGAAGTATGTTATTTGAACTTGTCAAGTCAGTGACTGTAGAACTAGTATCAATTTCTATTATAGTTATTTGACTTTAATTGCCACTGGCAGATTTAGTGTACTTATGTAGCATATCAGGGCAATGAGAGTATTGGTTTTCTTTTTCTCTGTCTTTAGCTACTATACATTTCCATGTATCCATATAAAGGTGCCCTCCAGCAGCAGTAACAGGTGAAGGTCCATGCTGAGAGTATTAGCAAACTGTGCAAGGTCCTATCCACCTGTTATTAAAATTTCAAAATTCGGTGCTGTCTGGTTAAATAAAATTGGTCCTGTCTGTTCCATGGTACTGACTAGATTTTAACCTACCCAAATGTCAGGGATGCAGTGAAGTTTTGCTATTTTCCCACATACAAAGTGATTTGTCTAGATGTCAAATTTCTATCTTTGCTCAGATTTTCCAGGTTTTTTAATTTGATGCTCAAATGATCTTTAATTTTTCAGATTAAGCCAACACCCGAAGTAACCAATATATTTCTCTTTGATATTAATAGGTATCATTAATATTTGATACAAAACACCAGCCTTCAGTACCAGTTGGGCAGCTCTGGGTGGAACTGCTGCGATTCTATGCTTTAGAATTTAATTTGGCTGATTTAGTGATCAGTATCCGTGTCAAAGAATCAATATCTCGAGAATCAAAGGATTGGCCCAAAAAGCGCATTGCCATTGAAGGTATCTCAAAATGTTTATTCTTTTTTTATTTTATTATTTTTTTAAGGTACCAGTCTAACAGCATGCTTTTATTTCAGTCTCTTTTCATCTCCTACTTGTAAGGTAGGCCTGACCTCAAAGGTGAACTAAATAATTAGGATCTTGCATGTGTTACAGTGAGTCATCTAAAAGGATCAAAAGGTTTATCCTGAGTTTTTGAAGAACTATAATGAAATATCTTAATTTTTAAGCAACTTGAATAATGGTTAGCTGAGTTCTTGCTTTCTTTGTGAATTGCTTAACAACTTAAATGCTTAATGTTTTTTTCCCAGTGATCTGAGTTTCCCTTTCCTGCTGTTCTCACTTCTGGATTTTTAAATTCAGTCCTTTCATGGGTTATTGTTAATATTGTTTAGTTTTGCAGAGATGAGAAAAATACTTTTTCTTGTGAAGACTGACATTCTTAGTTGGATAACTCTCCAGTAAAGGGAACAGATAATTATTTTTTAAAGTAGTAATCAGTAACTTACTCATTAAAAACACATTTTTAGTGAAGGCTTCTTTAACTGAAGTCACTATATGAAAGACACACTGATGTGCCCTGTAGATGTCATTAAATGGACTATCTCTTCTCAGCTTTGCAAAGTCAGGAGGTTGAAACCCCTCTAGAAATCTTAATTCTCCTCCTTTAATAATTTACAGAATTTCCTAAATGGAATTCTCTTATTTTTGCTTGATTTTTTTTTCAAGCTTTATGTTGCATAAGAGGGTTTTTTGCAATTTGCATAAATTCTGTGTGCAGTCATGGGGATCTCACATTTTTAAACCCTCCCCTGCAGTTTCTCTGGCTCAGCTCTTCTGGCCAATTGCCTAACCTGCTGGAGTTCTAGGGGAGGAGAAAAGATTGAGAGAAGTGGTGTCTCCTCCTGGTGCCTCCCTCTCGCCCCTGAAATTCAGTCCAGCCAATTCAGTGATGGGGCTTCCCAGGGCAGAAGAGTGGAGGTAAGCTCGACAAACCACAGGGCTTGGCTGAGTGGGGAGGCAGAGCACTCAGCAGCAAAGCCTATAGGGAAGACCTGACTTCCTGAGGGCACGATAAACACACGAATGACATCTTTCCTACCACCGCAGTCACGGCAGAATAGGGAAGGGGTACTGGTTCTGTACAGGATGGGTTCTCTTAGCAGAACAGATGTTTCAGAAAACATTGCTTTTTGTTCTTATACTGTATCTTCTTATTCTCTACCTGCATTTTTTCTTTTTTTAAGCATATAAGATATAAACTTCACTGTTGTTTATTTGTTATCTATTTTTATTTGCAACGGGCTAATTTTTAGAGCACAAAATAGAAATATATTAAGTGGTATATTTGTTTTTTCATTGTTATTGTTACAGATCCCTACTCTGTTAAAAGAAATGTGGCAAGGACCCTAAATAATCAACCTGTGTTTGAATATATACTTCACTGTTTAAGAACGACATATAAATATTTTGCTCTTCCACACAAACTTGCAAAATCCAGCCTTCCAAAGCCTCTGAGCACAGTTACGTGTATTTCAGAACATTTTAAAGAAGTAATAAATCATGATCCAGATGTGCAAACAAAAGACGATAAGCTCAACAATTCAGTTTTGGCTCAAGGCCCTGGTGCTACTACCATTTCAACTGAAAATGCTTGCAAGGCACAGCCACTTTCTCTTAAAGAGACTGCTGAAAGCTGTGGAAGCCCACCAGCTGAGGAAATTGGAAATGTACACATCAGGAAATGCACACATTTAGGAAACTCTGGCTGTATCCAGGCAGAAGTCAATTGTGATAATTATGAGGATATTAAAGTACACCATCAAGAAACAGGAAGTAAAGATGAGAAAGAGAAAATCAGAAAGAAGGGAAAGCATCCTTTGACTGCTGATGACCCCAGTATAAGCAGTAATGAGTGTGGAGAACTTACAATTGGCAGCAGCCCATGTAATTATGAGACAGATAGCATTTTGAATTTAGAAGGCCTCCAAAATCCTACAGCCAAAGTGTGTGATGGATTTGCTACTTTTGATGACAAGATTGATCTTGATGAAGAAAGTGTAGAAGGTACTGATGAGCTAGAAGACTCTTTAAACCACTTTGTCCCTTTAGTCCAGTGTCAAACATCTGAAATCATTCACTTTGATGAAGAAGAGGAGGAAGATGAAGAGGAGGAGGAAGAACCCAGGCTCACCATTAACCAAAGGGAAGATGAGGATGGCATTGCTAATGAAGATGAGCTGGACAATACCTATACTGGATCAGGTGATGAAGATGCTCTTTCTGAAGAGGATGATGAATTAGTTCAGCCGGCTAAATATGAAGACTTGAAAGAATGTGAAAAAAATGTAGATGGCGCCCTACTTACGGAACTTAATAAAATAAATCTTAAAGAAGAAAATATATGTGAGGAAAATTCACCAGTGGACCAGTCTGATTTCTTCTATGAATTTAGTAAACTTATCTTCACCAAAGGCAAGGTAATCAGGAGACTTTAAACAATTAAACACCAGGAGACTTTAAACAATTTTAATACATGTAATTTCAATTTTCATACACAAGAACATAATTCTCCATGTTTTGGGTGTGGTTAAGAAGTTTTGCCTTTGTCCTAATACAGCCACTTGATTCACTTCCTTCCACTTTACATTCCTTCCAATCAGATTTGTAGGAATCTGCGTAGGAGGAATGGAAAGCTGATAGTAACTATCCTTTTCTCCTGATGACATCATAAGGATGCTTCTCTCTCAGATCTTTTAATGGCTTCATTTCTTTGGAAAGTGAAGAGTAGGCTTTGTACTTCAAAAATAAAAAAGATCCAGGCATGTAATCTCAGCCACTCAAGGGGCTGAGGCAGGAGGGATCGTAAGTTCAAAGCCAGCCTCAGCAACTTAGCAAGGACCTAACCAGCTTAACGAGACTATGTCTCAAAATGAAAAGTAAAAAGGGCCGGGGATGTTACTCAGTGGTTAAGTGCTCCTAGGTTCAATCTGCAAGCCAAAAAAAAAAAAAAAAAATTCTAAATCCCATTATTTGGCAAATAAAGTTTTCAGTGTTATTTTGCTTTGCCATATTCCTACAGTCTCCCACAGTTGTGTGCAGCTTGTGCAAACGAGAGGGTCATCTAAAGAAGGACTGTCCTGAAGACTTCAAAAGAATCCAGCTGGAACCTTTGCCACCACTAACACCCAAGTTTTCAAATATCTTAGATCAAGTTTGTTTCCAGTGTTACAGTAAGTTATTCACATTTCTTTTCATTTGTCAGAAAAGTAAATTGACTTGTTGTTGTTGTTGTTGTAGTTGTTACTGGAAATTGAACCCAGGGGTGCTTTACCACTGAGCCATATTCCTGGTCCTTTTTATTTTTTCTATTGAGACCCTTGCTAAATTAAGGGTCACTCTTAAGTTGTTGAGGCTGGCTTTGAATTTGAGATCCTCTTGCTTCAGTGTGACATGCAGGTCCCATTTGGGACACACAATAAGTAATCATTAAAGAAAGAAGGAAGGAATATCTTTTTAAGTTGTTTGTTTTTTCTGTTTTATTTGTGCTGCAGATTGAACCCAGGGCCTTCCACGTGCTTAACTCATGCTTTATCACTGAACTACTTAATCTTAAGACTTTTTAAGTCTTAAGATTAAAATACTATATTAGCTTTTCCAACTAATAGATTACATTCCTTGAAATGTTTTCCTAGATGCATTTTTCATGACCAGAAGTATTCTCTCACAAAGGAATAACTGTACATATTGCCCCCTCCCTTGGGGAGCAGTAAATCTTCTTTAGAGATTTGCAAGGCATGATAAAAGCAGTGTTTAAAAGCAATGTTGTAGCAAAGAAACTTGATTTTATATCTTTAATCCAACAGCTCCAAAATTTGAGCACAGAATTATTCTTAGTTAACATTAATTCATAGTGCACACAACATGACAGCCCTTTAAGGAAGAGTAGAGTTTGGGGGAGCATTGGTATAGAGAGGTTTCAAGTCCTACAATGAGAAAATTTTGCAATAGAGACATTTTACTGCTTAGAATGGAGAACTTAATGCTTCATATTGCTACATCTTGAGGTGTCCATCTATGCTGAAAAATAATTTTTTAAAAACTTTTGAGGTATTATCAAAAGCCTTCTCAAATTCCTAGACTCAAGTGATCCTCCCACCTCAGCTTTCTGAGTAACAGGCACTACGGTGTGCACCATCATGCCTGGCTGCCAGGGATTTAAAAATGAAAACAAAAACTTTTTGGTGGTTTAAATCTATAAAAGAAAACTAGGTTCTCTTTAGGAAAAAATATGGACATGCTCACAAATTTTTGGATTCACTCTTTGAGGTCTCTGTAAAACCCAGGTACAGAGCCTGTCTAAATTAGTTTTCATTTTAAGAGTAGTTCTTTCTAATAGACTCTTCTGTTAAAGAAACAAAAGATTATTTTACATTACAAATGTTATCTGGGCAAAGGCACAAAAATTAGGGTGTTTTCTTTAAACCTTTGAAGTCTTACTTTCAGCTTTTTCAAAAAAAAGTCATCAGTCTTTTTCTCAATGTGTCTATTTATTTTAAACAGAGGATTTTTCTCCAACTGTTTTAGAAGATCAGGCTCGTGAACATATCCGGCAAAACTTAGAAAGTTTCATAAAACAGGACTTTCCAGGTAAATGATATATATTTTTTAATCCTTAAAAAAGGTAATGTGACCTTCCTTTCAAAAGAGTACATGTATTACGAGCATACTAATTTTGAGAATAACATCTTGCAGTGATTGTGGGTTCGGAGTTTCAGTTGCTTTGTGATATACCTAGGATGGTCTTTGGTGCACCAAATCCTGGTTTACGAACAGAAAAGAAAGTACAGTGCAGAATTTATTCTAATAGATACCACAAGTGAATTTCACTTAATATTACATTTGTAATCAGAGTTCACACCTCTAAAATATGCATTTATTTAGAAAGGAGTGATACATTATTAAATGTGTTGAAATGATCTCCATTTTGTTTGAAATGTCACCTAGTAATCTTTCATGATATATACAGCTTGTATATTAAAGTAAACTTGGAAAAAATAAATAAATAGTTAATAAAAAAATTATTATGAGATAGGATAGTTAACACCTGGGTATATTTGATTCATGAGAGGGTCATTTTGGTCAAAATATTAAATGTACTCAGGTAATTAGTTATTACTTTTCATATATCCCTAACAGGAACTAAATTGAGCTTGTTTGGCTCCTCCAAAAATGGATTTGGTTTTAAGCAGAGTGACCTTGACGTCTGCATGACAATTAACGGACATGAAACTGCTGAGGTACAGTGACCACATAAAACTTGCATTTGCTCTGGCAGTGTGATTTGAACTATCTTGACTGATGGTACAGCTTGGTACTTTCCAAATTTATCAAGGCATGCCATATGGAGTGTGCCATTTGGCACACCCTCTAGCCAAATACATTAAGCTTAGAGGTGAATATGAAGAATAGATTGCCTTGTACATTCAACTTTTAGTATGAAGTAGATTTGAAAGTGACCACTGGGAATTCTGCAAAGCCAAACCAGCTTTCCTGGTGTTCCATTAGCCTGGCTACTAGACTGACCTGGATATGCATATCCATACGTTATCTATAAGGTTTTTATTTTGTTTTTGTTTTAAATCAGGCAGGCAGTGTGGTATAAATGATGAGTGCTACCTTTATAGTACAAAGACCTGGATTTGAGACAACTTGGTTTTTTCAGTACCTAAACATGTGGTCTTTGGTCGATAGCTATAAAATGGAAATAATAACTTCTGTCTCTTGCTTTAGGAGATCATAGTGCATATCAGCTTGGTTTTTATATGTCAGGAGATAGCAAATTTTGGCCTATGGGCTGAATTCAGCTCACAGCCTGTTTTTGTAAATAAAGTTGTATTAGAACAGAGCCACACCCATTCATTTATGTATTGTCTATTTAGTTGGTTTGTGTGTGTGTGTGTGTGTGGTGCTGGGAATCGAACCCAGTGGCTCAGTGCCTCACGCATGCTAAGTAAGCTCTCTACCGTTGAGCCATAACCCCCAGCCCTATGTTTTGTGTATGTCTGATTCTCTACATGACTGGGAGTTTAGTACTTATAACACATGCTTATGTGGCTCGCAAAGCAGAACAAATTTGTCAGCCCCTGATGTATACAGGAAGGCACTTATATAAAAATTATATAAATTCTGAGATGTGCTGAGTTCCTATTCGTTTTTGTTTGTTTGTTTTGTTTATTTCTGTTTTTATTATTTTTATTTTTGATTAGTGGTGCTGAGGGACTTGAACATGCTAAATAAGGGCTCTTACCTCTTACCTACACCCCATGTCCCTATTTTTTAAATTTGTAACAGTAGTCCAAAGGCTCTATATCCAGAAGAGTGCTGCTACTGTTCTCAAGTGCTTTCTTTGCCTTGAAGATATAACAGATTTGGAAAAATGGACAAAAATGATCTGCCCAGAATTTGGTGAATAAAATGAATAAGCAAGATTAGGTCTTCCGTATGGCACAACCCTATTATACAACCTCAAGATTAATTAATTAATTAATTTTTTTTTAAGAGAGAGAATTTATTAATATTTATTTTTTTTTAGTTTTCGGTGGACACAACATCTTTAGTTTATTTGTATGTGGTGCTGAGGATTGAACCCAGCACCCCGCGCATGCCAGGCGAGCGCGCTACCGCTTGAGCCACATCCCCAGCCCGAGATTAATTTTTTTTAACCTAGTATATAAACTAATTTTGAAGGCATTTCTAAAGTGAAATTCCAAATATGTTCTGGAATGTGTACAGTCATCAAAAGGGCTTACATTGATAGGGACTGTGAATGTGTTTTTAAGTATGAATTATTAGAAATATCATTCTTATTTGCTATATTACCTTAATTTTCTGCATTATAATTTTGGCTCTTCCAGTGGGGAAATAATGTGAGCTTAATCACTATCCACAGCAAGTCATCAACTCTTAAACTATAATTAAGATTTTACCTGTAATTAATAAGATGAGGCATAGAAGCCCCTTCTTATATACTCTGGCACATAGGGTACTTCTGAGAGAGGTAATTACATAGCAAAAAAATGAAAGTCCTCATCCATGGTTCAGAGACGTTTCAAGAAGCTCTCAGTCCATGGCTTCCTGACTGATTTTAACCTTTTTTGCACCTTCAAAAGCAATTAGAACATAGGATGTGTGGCAGTTTTTGCATATTTAGAATATTTCCTATGGATACTGACTGATTCTCAACTAAAAGTGAAAAACATATAATGAGTTTCATTATATCTGAAGACAGTGGATACTATAAACAGTATAGTAACCTGTCTTCCAATTTTGATTAATTTTTGTGTCATCTTTGTTGCAGGGGTTGGACTGTGTAAGAACTATTGAAGAATTGGCAAGAGTCCTTAGAAAACATTCAGGTACCTCTAAATATTTGTTTCTAAAAATACTATAACTTTTTTAGTGTTTCGTGTACTTAGAATTTATTTTTATTATTTTTTAGTTGTAGGTGGACACAATATCTTTATTTCATTTTTATGTGGTGCTGAGGTGTGAACCTAGTGCCTCACGTGTGCTAGACAAGCACTCTATCACTGAGCCATAACCTCAGCCCCATGTACTTATAATATATTAATGCCTACAAAGCAATATAGTGACTCATTTTATAAAATACTTACAGTACTAGTGTCCTTAAAAAATATCATGATTAAGTATGAAAGACTGAGGAGTTGGTGACAATTTGTGTGCATATTGTTCCCTAGCTGAATTTTGTGTCTGTGTGTATGTGTGTGTGTGTGTGTGTTTCCCCCAAGACAAAGTATATACCAGACAGGAAATTTTGGAAATCATTTTACTTATTGATATCATATAAATCAAAGTATAGAAATTATTAAAACCTCATAAGTGTAGTGAAGAGCATCTTGGCCTAGGCAGTTGCATTCACAGCTGTTCTGTTCATCAAGCTATTATAACCTTGAGCCAGGGTTCACTTTGCTTGGTCTGTTTTATCAATAAATTAAGAAAAGTGAGAAATCATTTACAACTGTAAAATATATGGATTTTTAAATTGTTTGCAGAGCTAAAATGCCATTAACATATTCTTTTGCTAGTGGGGCATCTATCAATGCTGTGTAAACCTGAGAGTCCAAGAGTGATACCAAGAATTAAGCAAAATTGTAAGGAATTGTTTGAAAGAAGTTGAGGACTAAACCTTAATTTCAGTGGGTAGAAAATAAAAGACTGAACATGGGAGCTTTGGGGTTGATAAAATAGAACCAGTTTGATTTACTATGAATAAATGCTAGGACAAGGTTCTATGTATTATAGTGTCCAATGGTGTCTAATTCCTGAATGGGAAGGAGTTGGAGAAAATGGTTTATCTAATTTAGAGGTGATAAAGAAAAGTATTTGGTAGATATTCTGAAATCAGACTCTTCTGAGGGGTGTTTTGTTTTTGTATTAAAGGGAATTGAATTAAAGGGCAAGTCTACCACTGAGCTATATTCTCAGCCCTTTTCATTTTTTATTTATTTTTTTTTTAATTTTTTTATTAGTTGCTCAAAACATTACAATGATCTTGACATATTATACATTTGATTCAAATGAGGTACATAATCTCATTTTTTATTTTGAGAAATGTTCTCACTAAGTTGCTACAGCTGGTTTACAACTTGCCATCCTCCTTCCTTGGCCTCCCAAGTACCTGGGCCTGGCTCTTTGGGTTTTTTTTGTTTCTGTTTTTAAAATTTTTTGTTTTGTGATGCTGGGGATTAAACTCAGGGCCTTCTGCATCTAAAGCAGGTACTCTTTTTTTTTTCTTTTTGTGGTACTGGGGATTTATCCCAATTGATCCCACAGCCTTGTTAGCAGCCCCTCCCCCACCACCCGGCTTTAAATCCTGGTTTCCCATTTTCAGGCTGTGTGATCCCAATACCTCACTCAGCCTCATTATAAACACCCAGTTCCTCGTCTGTACAGCACCGTATATTCTGAGTATTCAGTAAATCCAAGCTTCCTTACTTCTCTTCCCCGTTAATATAAGTTAGTTTCCCACACAGATCTATCTTTCTTTCTTTTAATATTTTTAGTTGTAGATGGACACAATACCTTTATTTTGTTTATTTAATTTTATGTGGTGCTGGGGATCGAACCCAGGGCCTCACACATGCTAGGCAAGCTCTACCACTGAACTACAACCTCAGCCCCTTACACAGACTTTTCATCCTGAAATTACTTTTACCATTTACATGCTTTTTACCTGAGTTCTTTTTTTTTTTTAATTTTTTTTTTTTTTAGTTGTAGTTGGACACAATTGCTTTATTTTATTTATTTATTTTATGTGGTGCTGAGAATCAAACCCAGGGCGTCACATGTGCTAGGCAAGTGCTCTGCCGCTAAGCCGCAATCCCCAGCATCACAAAACCCCAGCCCCTTTACCTAAGTTCTGTAATGTGATAACTGTATATCTGCCCTTTAAACATCACCACTTAGCACTCTCAGGAAATTCATACTCCTACATATCAGAATAGACTCATTTTTCTGTTTACTTCCTTCCTTCTATTGGTTCCACCACTGCTTCCTGCCCTTCCTTCTGAATCCTCTTTCTAGATTTTCAACATTGGTATCTTTAGAATCACCAAAATGGGTGAAGTGATTATTAGTCTGACGTAGTCTATTCAGGAGAGGTTTGGAATCATTTGTGCCTCGTTTGAATCCTAGGTTCACCATTTACCAATTGTATGTTCCTAAGTGGATTTCTGTGGGTCTCTGTTTCCTCATCCGTAAGATGATGGTGCTCAATCTAAGTAAAGTTTATGAAAGACTCTTTGCATGCCCCTGGTAACACATTTTGTACTCAGAAAATAGTAATTCTTACTGTTAACAGCCCTTCTCCTTAACATTTCTCCTCCCCATCCTGTCATAGAGACTCAAGCATGACTTGTTTTCTCTCTGTATTTCCATTGTACCTTGATAGTTCAGGCCCAGATGTTTTTAAGTGGCTGTCTTGCATTCCATTGTCTCCAGTGCATCCATTGCTGAGGCATTGTTTAAGATTGTCAGTGATTTTTCCTCACACCAGTTTGTTGACTTCTCTTTATCTCTAAATATCATTCTTAACATGGTATATAGGGCTCTGGGTTCTTCCCAATTTCTTCCTCATCTCTCTTTATTCATGTTCCTTTACCTCAATTCATTCTACTGCCTGCATAATTCCTTGTAAGATCTCGAGCCATTCTGTTTCAGACGTCTACCCTTTCTGAGTATAGTTTTTCTTGCCTGGTAAATCCCCTCAACCTACACACTATCGTTTGCACATTCTTTTCCTTCAAAGGCTAGATCAGGTAATTTCCTTCTCTTACTAAAATTGATTGCTTCCTATTACCTTCATAACTTCTAGCTCCATGACGAGTAGCTTGTTTCAAAGGATTCAGGTGATTGCCCATAAGGTTTCTTCCAAATTAGATACAGTCATGAAGAGAATAGACAAAACACGTACTGCAGATACTGTAGTTGTTTCCTCTGTTTTGGTGTTTATCAAACTAATAATCTCACATACATGCATGCATACACGCGTGCGCGCACACACACACAAAAGGTCCATTAAGTTCTAGTTCAATACAGTGAAACAAGCCTAAGTTATGTTACATCATTTATGTTTATGTTGAAATATTAGCTTACAAACCATTTTTTATTCCCAGCTACTGTATTTAATCATACTATCTTATTTCCCAATCTAGGTCTGAGAAACATCTTACCTATTACAACAGCAAAGGTGCCAATTGTGAAGTTCTTCCATTCAAGAAGTGGTCTGGAAGTAGATATCAGTTTGTATAACACATTGGTAAGATTTTTTCAGGGCTTTTTCTTTAAAAAGATTAAAGAGAATAACTGCCCCTTTTTAAAAACCTCAAGTTAAATGAGCCATTTATTTCATGTTTCTTATTCTTTGGAGAGATTTTTATGAGTACTTGCTATGTGCTTGATGATGTTCTGAGGATAGGGATAGAGAATTTAGTTAATATGAATATTTACTTGAGCTGGAGAAGTAGGTCAATGATAGAGCACTTGCCAGTATGCATGAGACCCTGGCTTCCATCCCCAGTGCCACAAAAATTTTTAAAAACAAAGTATGCTATTCAACAGTTGGGGGAAAAAATAAAAATAAAAAAATTATATATGTATAATTATTATTATGTATTATATATGTGTATATATATATATACATATATATACACACACACACACACACACACATATTACTATTCTCTTCACTTAAAATGAGATCAGAGTGGCAAGCTTTTTTGTTTGGCTTGAATTTTGTGGTAATTTTGTGGTGGTGGTGTTTTTGGAGAGAACTATGTAACCATGGTGTCAGTCTTGCTTCAGGATTTTACAAAATTTTTCTGGTCCCTGAGATAATTTAATTGAAATAATGCCATGGAGCAAAGAGAAACTTTATATTTACTTAAAGGAAACTAATTGTTTATTTTAATAGCTCCTTATTTTCTAGAACTTCAAAGTAAGGACATATTAACATAATGGAAGTCATGAGAACATGTTACTACAATTCTTTGTTTTTATCTAGTAAATTAACAAAGTGTGTCTTTGAAAAGAAAAGGTAATCTCAATCTCAATATGTTCTTCCTAAAATTAATTGCAAGTGACCATTTCCAGAATATTTCAGCTTAAAATATTTTTTCATCTAATTGATAGCCTTATAGTGTAATTTCCCTTTTAACAGGCCCTTCATAACACAAGGCTTTTATCTGCTTACTCAACCATTGATCCCAGAGTGAAATATCTGTGCTATACCATGAAAGTATTTACAAAGGTGAGTAAGCTTCTTGTTGTGATTTGTCAGGAAATTGCATTGCATCTTCAAATCTTGTTGAAAACAAAATCTGTATTTTTTAATGAAAAATAACCATGTCAGATGCTTCCTGTAACTTTGGGAAGCCCTATACAGGCAACTAAATTTTTGTTGTCTTAAATTTTACATAATAATCTGATCTTGCTTCTGGTTAATAGTTCACTGCTTCATTGGGTTCAGTTTGGTTTGAATTGGGTTGGTTCATTTCATTGGGATATTTTAGATTTTGACAGTGTGATTTTTAGAAAAGGTAGAGGGTGGGATCTCACAAAAATCAAAGGGAAATCCATAGAGGAAAAGGACCGAGGGGTGAGAGGGAGGGAGGGGAAAGTGCTGGGGAGTGATATTGGGCAAATTATGTTACAGGTGAAC